TGTAATCTGTAAGCCAACTGTCTAAATAAATGCCATATTAATTGGATAATTATCCTAGCCCACTGGTTGCCAAATGTTTCTTGCCAACCTCCCCTGCTGCCATTAAATTTTCTTCACGCTCAATGAGCAGTTTTTATTTCCTTCACCTTTCTTTCTGCTTTTTTTCCTTCCATTTTAATTTTAAGAAGCCTGAAAAAAAAAAAGCAATCTTTGGCCTTTTCTTCTCAACACATTCTACTCTGTCTCTCTTCCTTATGGTCCCCTACCAGAAGTGTGCTGCGGTAAGCTCAGAAAGCTCGCAAGATCCAACGTGAAATTTAATGTGAGCCTTTACATGTTGGAAAATTGGCAAATGCTACAGACCAAGACTTATTATTTTGTTGATTATCTAGACAACAGATGTCAAACTCATGAGCCCCCTGCTGGGCACAGTCCACAACATTCCCCAGGGCGACTGAACTAGATTAGAATGTGATTGGGAATGTTCAACAAAATAAATGAAGATACAATAAAACACACATAATGTCAAGATGTAGTTTTCTAAGTCCACTAAGTGCACTATCCTTATAGTTTACTGACCTCCATTTCTGTTTGAGTTTGACCCCAAATGATGGAGAAAATATTAATCATGCAGATCAAACTTAAAAGTATATTGTGTGTACATTTTTGGGGTTGTTAAACATTTACTACCAACTCCCTACTAAGGCCCCAGTCATTCATCCTTCCACTACTTCCCTACTCGTTTTCAGTCATGTCCGACTCTTTGTGACCCCATTTGGGGTTTTCTTGGCAAAGATCCTGAAGGGGTTTGCCATTTCCTTCTCCAGCTCATTTTACAGATCAGGAAACTGAGGCAAACAGGGTTAAGTGACATAAGTGCCCAGGGTCACACAGCTGAGGCCAGACTTGAATTCAGAAAGCTGAATCTTCCTGACTCCAGGCCTGACCTTCTATCCGCTCTCTCATCTAACTCTTAGGTTCTACAATATTTCAGCATTGACTAAGGACCCAGATCTCCACTTGGGGAAAATACACTACAGCCTCACTATAAGACGTCTGGGGGCTATAAGACCAACTTGAACCAAGGTCTTTGGTGTACTCAGATATCAGACTCCCTCAGATTATTCTGCATGGTAAACTTGCCTTATGTGAATGCTGTCTCTGGATTGAACATATCCTTGTTAAGCAAACCAGACAGAGTAGTTCTTCTCTGGCAGTGAAGGCCATTGTCATTAAAGCCACTGAGGTTCTCTCTCTAATGTTAAACATAAAAGATAGAGCTCTGCACCTCATGTTAAATAAGTCATAAATGCCCACTTGCTCACTAATCACATGACCCTAAAAGCTCCATCCAGGGAACTGTACTCTGAAACGATGTAGCCAATTACATGTAATGTATCTGCATTGCTAACATAACAAGTCCATCTCCTGACATTGATGGAATTTGCAGTGACTGCTAAACCTGCTAAAACTGCTGAACAAATTTCATAGCCTCATAGCCCTAAAATTGGAAGAGATCTTAGGTACCAAATCCAGGGGTAGGAAACCGGTGGCTTTGAAGCCACATATGGCCCTCTAAATCCTCAAGTGCAGCCCTTTGACTGAATCCACATTCCACAGAACAAATCACCTTAATAAAAGGATTTGTTCTGTAAAACTTGGACTTAGTCAAAAGGCCTCACCCAAGGACCTGGAAGGCCAGGCTCCCCATCCCTGATAGTCCGAATCATTTTTCTTTTTTTTTGGTGAGGCAATTGGGGTTAAGTGACTTGCCCAGGGTCACACAGCTAGTAAGCGTCAAGTGTCTGAGCTCAGATTTGAACTCAGGTCCTCCCAACTCCAAGGCCAGAGCTTTATCCACTGTGCCACCTAGCTGCCCCTAAATCCTTTGTTTTATAGATAAGGAAGAAATAGGGGCAGCTAGGTGACACAGTCATAAAATAATAATAATGATGTCTGGCATGTATATGGCTATTGTCATCTCATTTTATTCTCACAACAACCCTGGGATGTAGGTTTAATATTTTTAAGCATTTGCAGTGAGGCAAGATTATAGACAGAATACAGAATGAGATAGTCCCTTTGTTAAATTGATTTGCATTTTTAATTGGGCAGGCAGGTAACCCAACCTAAGGAATAGAGTGGGGGAAATAAGTGTTTGATGTAAAACTCAAGACCATGCAAAGAAGAACCTTAAATTTCAGGTAAGAAATTTTCCCTTCTATGGTAAAGGAGTTTTGCTTTTTTATTTTTCTCCCCAGTTCCTAGAACACAGTAGGTTCTTGAGAAATGTTTATTTAAATGAATGAGCTAAGCCACTGAGCACTGTATTCAATATTCTGTCAAGCAATAAAGTATGTATTAAACCTGTCCTTCTCCCCCAACCCCACCCTCTAACCTCACTACTGCAATCACATCAAAACTAATACTGCTGGGGCAGCTAGGTGGTGCAGTGGATAAAGCACCAGCCCTGGAGTTGAGAGGACCTGAGTTCAAATTCAGCCTCAGATACTTAATAGCTGTATGACTTTAAGCAAGTTGCTTAACCCCCATCACCAGAAAAAAAAAAAGATGGGGGGGTAAAAAAACCAACTAACATTGCCTATGGAAAGGGCAAGTCAATGCAGTGCCTTATTTTCCCGCTAGTCATACCTATGACTTCCCAGACCAAAACACTGTTCCCTGACCGTACCTCCCTTCTATGTGCTATCTCCCAGTCATTAGAATGTGAGCGCCTTGAAGGCAGAAGCTATGTCCTTGACCTTAGCACAGTACCTAACGCATAGTAAGCTCTTAATAAAAGTTACACTTATTTCCTCATTCATTCATTTATTCAACATTAGGGAGTAAAGAACAGGACCAAGATACAGGATTTTGTCTGTCTGTGCTTTATCATTAACTTATTGTATGACCTTGAACAATCAATCAGATGTCATCTTGCTTTACTACCTACAACACGGTAAATACAGCTGACCCATTAACAAGAACATTGTTATGATACATACAATAATACATCTAAACCTCTCCAAGCTTTTCAGAATAAAATCACTGGATAAATACTTCATACTAATATGAGTGGCACCTCATGTTTATGAAAATCTGAATTAAAAAAAAAAACAGAAACATTAAAAAATTTGCTTCTCCTCCACACATGCACACATATTTTGAAAGAATCTTTTTGCTTGACAAAACAGTTTGTTGGAGATTGCCTCTACTATATCTAAAATAAATTCAAATAACAAAAAGTTGATTCATACACATCTTTTTGGAATGTGCCCATTACACAAAACAGATGATATTGCAGTATATACCCCTATTGTGGACAACTCATTTCTCTTTTAGGGTATTCACAGTTATGTAGCTCTGGACCTCTGTTTGCAATCAGCATAAATAAAAAGGGCCACATCACTTCTATGAACTGTGTAGTACAGCAAACCAAATAGTTTAATCAGAGCTATAACTAGGGTGGGGTGACTAGGATCTTACCCTGGTGGAGCATATGCTTCCTTCCTGCTTTTGGTTCTGCATGTAGGGGATGAAAGGAGAATATTCCACAACTCTAGTGGATTGATCCTAGGATAGATCCAATGGGATAGGGCTTTTGGAAAGATGCTGCCCTTTTAAGCAACCTGGTATAAACACTAGCTTGACCATATTTTACCTAGGAAGAGAGGTCTTTTTATGGGCCCATCAGTGTTTTCTGTCCAGGAATGGGGGCTACCTTGAGGTGCCAGGGGTAATACTGGTCTGGGGCAGGGAGTGTACTTCTCTGAGACACATTTAGCCTGAGAGTGGGACAACAGCTTTTGGGCAATCTGGGCATGAGAAGGGAACTTGGAAGGGGTCCCCAAGCTGTGGTCCATGCCTGCTTTCATCTCTGCCAGACGAGCTTGCTCCAAAGGCCAGAATTCCTCATTATTAACTTCTACTATAGAAGTTAAAATTATTGAGAAGCCACAAATTGTAGTCTGGGAATAAAAAAAGAACCCACAACCACCCAAGGCAGCCAATCTGAATGTCATTAAGTTAGTGCTTAAAGGAGTCGCATTTCCTCTTCAATTCATTAGGAAAGCCTTGGTACGTTGCCTGTGCCATGTGGGGGAAAGTCCAAAGGTGATTGTTAAATAGTACCACAACTATAGCAATGCTTCATGGGCCTCATCATTACAAGGAGATTCTATGTTTCACACAATTAATTTTCCAGATAACTGAAACTTAACTCTTCAAGGGTAAAATTGAAAAATGTAACCATTTTAATGGAAATCTTTCTTAAGAGCCAGTATGGTATAACAGAAAGGTAGTAGTCAAGTGAAGAGCGAGAAGGCCTTTGCTCCCATGCCAGCTAGGCTACTGGGTCACCTGAGGCAAGCCAATTCATCTCACAAAGACTGGCTTTTCAGAATCTTTTAAAACTTTATTTTAGACTCATTTTAGAAAATTCAATGAGATGAAGTCACATTTCAATTTACAGGTAAAAACAATGCTTAATTCTTAATCTTGATTTTAACTTGAGACTTTGGATAGGATTAAACTACGACAATCCTTGAACATAGACTTGTCAGCACTTTGTAAAAAGGCATCTATCCAGGACAAGTTACAATTTATGCTGACTGAGCAGTAAAGACTTCTGAGTTCACTTGTTCTGAATTTATTTCCCCTGAGAAGGGCAGATGGGTAAAAGCAAACATTCTGTGTTCTTCAGACATTTTACTTTTATTCTCAAGATGATGCCAGTGGGGATTATGGGATGGGAGGCTTGATTTATCCCACGGACACAACTTCGAAATAAAGGCAGATAATCAGGGCACCAACCCAGCTTTGTTTTGGGATTGGTGGAAAAATGTGTCTGTGCTCTGGAAATCACAAATAGGGGTGTTTACACAAACTGTTGCTAAAGTGTCATGAGCTGGTGTGTGAGCAGTTTACAGCTTAGCAAGAGAAAGCGAAAAACATACATTGCACCTTCTGTCAGCCCAAACTCAGTGTTTGTGTTTCGTCAGATTGATAGGTTTGATGCGGATGGCTTGTTTAGCAACATCCAATCGGTGCATCAGATATCAGCCAAGCTCCTGTCATTGCTGGAAGAAGCCACAACAGACGTGGAACCAGCCATGCAAGTAATCGGTATGTTTATACTCTTCTTGAGTTCTCCAGAGCAGGAAGAAATAATATTTTAATACCCGCCCCATTCCCCATATTAGCCTTAATTTTGCATTCCTTCCATACTCCCCAAGTTTCCCAGGAGACCTAGAATTGCAAAGTCCATCTCCAGTCTCACTGTAATTACATAAAATCTGTGTTTCCAAATGGGTTTCCAAAAGTCCCTCAGTAGCACTAAGCATTCCATCATCTTTCTAATTTGCTGCTACCTAGACTCTTTCCCTTCTAGTCTCTCTCTCTCTCTCTCTCTCTCTCTCTCTCTCTCTCTCTCTCTCTCTCTCTCTCTCTCTCTTTATCCCTCCCTCTCTATCTTTTGTCTCTCTCTGTCTCTCTTCCCCTCCGACTCCCCTTTTCTCTGTGTCTCTTTTTCTGTATCTTTATCTCTGTCTGTCTCTGTCTGTCTGTCTCTCTCTTTCCCTTCTTCTCCCCTCTTTTTTAATGGCCAAGAGTTAAAAATTTAAATCAGCAAATAGCTTTACTGAATTTGGTAACTCTTTTTAGGTTATGTGCCTCTGGAAATATCTATGACTTTGTAGCTCACAATTTTTTTTCTAAATTTACACTTAAAATCTTTATTAACACTATAGATTTTTGGCCACTAGAACTTTTCATGCTTCCTTTTAGGTTATTTCCTGATTTCCCTTTTTCTGTCTGTGATTTGATGCTCACAGACAGTCTCAGATTTTTTTTCTCCACTCATGTTAAAAATAACTAGAGTTAAACTAAACTAAAACTACACCTAAAAATAGCAGAGTTAAAAATAATTCTAAAGATTGCTGTGTGAGAAACACTGAGACCAAGTCTTATTTTCTGTATTCCTTGCAAGTCCTGTCCATCAATGTTGCTACAAAGATAGCTCAGTGCCATAAAGCCCTTGAAGACAGTAACCTCTATTTTATATTCTATACAATGCCAAAGAGGCTATGAGCTTTGATTATTGATAGCACCAGGAGACAGAGAGCATAGCGGTTTGTTTTTTTTTTAAGCAATCCTAGGTTGGTGGTCTGAGCCCTTCCCATCTGGCTCCAGCCTGCCTTTCCTGACATTTCAGATTATTCTACAATCCAGCCCAATTCGCTCAGTTGCTTTTCCCTGAAATCATCCTTCAATCGGCCATCTCTTTGTTTCGCATAGGCCATCCTGGGTGTCCAGGTCTGGGATGCCCTTCTCCTTAATCCCCAACTCTTAAAATCCTTAGCTTCCAAAGAATTACTGAATAATTTTCCAATAATCCAAAGAGTTATTAAACTACCTATACCCTTTAACCCAGCAACACCGCTATTTAGTCTATTTGCAAAGATGATTAGGGAAAACAAGAAAAGAACCTACATGTTCTAAAATGCTTATAGCAGCTCTCTTTGTGGTGATAAAGGACTGGAAATTTCAAGGATGCCCATCAATTGGGGAACAGCTGTACAAGCTGTAGTGTATGGTTGTGGTGGAATACCACTGTGCTATAAGAAATGATGAGCTCGGTGATCTTAGAAAAACATGGAAAGACTTGCACAAAATAATGAGGAGTGAAATGAGCAGAACCAAGAGAACATTGTATATAGCACCATCAACATTGTTTTAAGAACAACTTTGAGCAACCAAGTCCTTTTGACTATTATAAATACCCAAATTAACTATAAAGGACATATGAAGAAAGACATTGTCTGTATCCAGAGAAAGAATTGATAAATAGAAGTATGTGTAGAATAATTTTACACACACACACACACACACACACACACATACACACATAACATATACATACATACATATATATATTTGTGTCGAATGATAACCACCTCTAGGGTGTGGAGGGAGGGGGGAAGAAAAAAAATTTACATGATAATTTTGTTGTGTATTTGTTGCAAGTTGTGCATAGCAGATTTGCAGTTTCATGTAAAATCAGCATTTTTTAATTGTACTATGTTAATGAAATGCTTGTTTTATTCCATAGATTAAAAATAAAATCCTTTAGCTTCCTTCAGAGCTCATCTTGGGTCTCACTCTCTATGGGAAGCTTTCTGGCCCCCCTACTTGTTAGTACTTCCTTCTGCCTCAAATTACAGTGCACTTATTCCTTAAGAAAAGTTTACATCCCCAGCCCTACGTAAGCATCTGGAGGACTGAGGGCTGATTTTTCGTTTTGTCTTTCTATCCTGGGCCCTGAGAGCAAGGCCTTGAATATAGCAGAGGCTTAATAAAAGCTTGTTGAACTGAATGAAATGACCAAGATTTTACTTAGTATTTATCGAGTTCTCGTTATATGCTTCATAGGCCTGGCCTCGCAGATGGAATAGATGGCTACCTAATTTGTAGTGTGCTCTAAATGATGCTAAAAGGAGTAAAAAGCCTATGTGGCGCTGACATATTTCTCCAGCAGATCACCTGAAATTCCTAAGAGTTGTTTGGTTGTCTCAATCATGCCCAACTCTTTGTGACTCCATCTGGAGTTTTCTCGCCAAAAATCCTGGAGCAGTGTGCCATTTCCTTCTCCAGCTCATGTTACAGATGAGGAAACTGGGGCAAAACAGAGTTAACTGACTTGCCTAGAGTCACACAGCTAGTAAGTGTCTGAGGCCGAATTTGAACTCAAAATGAAAAATCTTCCTGACTCTAGGCCTAGCAGTCTATCCACTGTGCCATCTAGCTGCCCCTGAAGTTCCTAATACTTGGGGAATTCATGGAACCATATAATTTAAAATATAAAAATAAAATATAATAAAAATTTGATAGAGTTTTCTAGGCTTTTGAGCAGCTGTGGGTGGTCTGGTTTTTTTTGGTGGGAACTAGTTATCCTCCAGAATGGACATTCTCAATAAATGATCCCTAGTTTTCACTCAAAAATCACTAGAAAGAATTCACTCTGTCAAGGAAGCCCATGCAATTTTTGTAGAGTCCTACTTGCTAGAAAGAGGCTGAAAGAGAAAAAGGAGATGAGTAATAGAACAAGGTCACAGAGGGGTGGGAAAAGATGGGAGTGAGAGTATAGGTGGATTAGCTTTAGCAAGGAAGAAGGCCACCACCTCCTTCAGATCTTGAGGGAAAGAGGATAGGCCAGACAAGAACACAGAGAGATTCAAGACCAAGGTAACCAGGTGGCATGGTTGATTCTGCAAACTTTAAAGTTCTATGCGAATGGTAACTGTTATGGAGGAGGGGAGTTAAGTACTCAAAGCAATCAGCAACCTGAGAGGGATTCTTGGTAAAGTATGGTTTTGCTCAAAGGCTTCTAAGGTCCAACTGTGAGATTCTGCAGTTCTAGCATATATTGGCCAAAGAAGGCATGGTTAATGAGCCATTTTTTTTTCTTATTTCAATAGTATAAGGAAATCCCTTTGTGAAAACTCCTCCTACCAATGCAGATCAGAACTTGCTCTGTAACCTGTAGTCTTAGATAGTTGCCTGGGACCCGGGGCATTTGAGTTACTTGCCCAAGATCACGTTGCCAAGATATGTCAGAGGTATGATTTGAACCTGGATCTTCCTGGTTATGAGGTTACTTCTTTATCCACCACATCACAGTGACTTTCATCTCTGTCAGCAGAATGAAAGTTGTTGCTTTACAACTTACAGTCTTAGCTGCCTTGAGCATGGAGACATTAAGAACTAATAATAATAATAAGTAGCATTTATATAGCTCCTTAATATTTGGAATGTACTTTACACATGCTATTCATCTGATTCTCAAACATCCCTGTGAGGCAGGTGCTATTATTATCATCCCCATTTTACAGATTAGGAAGCTGAGGATGAGAGAGTTTTAAGTGATGTCCAGGATCATACAGCTAGTACCTAAGTCAGGATTCAAACTCAAATCTTCATGACTCCAAGTCTAGGGCTCTGTCCATTGTACCACCAAGTTGCCTCTGACTTGTTCAGGGTCACACAGCTTGTATGTATCAGGGGTGGGACTTGAACCCAGCTATTATTGTCTTCTTGGCTGCTTCTCTATCTACTATGTACTCTTCCTCTCAGAGAGACAGTGTGCTGATGAAATTATCACCTTAGGAACAGACTTAAGAAAGGAAAGGTTACTATAACTACCCCACCTCCACCAGTCACATGTTGCCAAACAGCAGAGAGCTCTTGTTGCCAAACCATTTTATTGGTTATAAAAATTCCCACCCAGAACAAAGGTATCCAGGAAGCCAAAGGTATCACTAGGGAGACCATCAGTATATTGGTAGAAAGACAGGACTTGGGTCATTGCCAGAAGAGGCCAGCAGCTATTAACCCCATCAGTTGTAATCATCTAGTGTTTGTAGTAGTGGAGGAAAAGTTGATTTCTCTGTCCACAATGTGGGGGATAAAACTTGGAATCCTCAAAGCATTTTAAAGTAGCAATAACCAATCACTGTCAAACTTTCCTTGGAGATGAGTGACCAGGGAAACAGCTAGAGAAATGAAGATTCGTCCCAAACCTTTTGCTGTTCTCCATTCATGATCTATCTGTTTAGTTTCTAAATTTTAGTCTGTGATTTCAGGTTTAAAATAGTTGTTAAATTTTCAGTTTCTATCCAAACTTTTCATTCACAATTTGTTAAATGCTAGTATTTTAATTCCCTTCTCTAACTAGCCATGAACACTGAGATCCAAATTAAGTTTGCTTCTCCCTGTTCAAGCAGAGGTTCCCAAACTTATTTGGCATACCACCTCTTTTTTTTTTGTGAGGCAATTGGGGTTAAGTGGCTTGCCCAGAATCACACGGCTAGTGAGTGTTATGTGTCTGAGGCTGGATTTGAACTCATGTCCTCCTGACTTCAGGGCCCGTGTTCTATCCACTGTCCCACCTAGCTGCCCCCAACTGCCTCTTAAAAAAAAAAAAGAGTGGCAGCTAGGTGGCACAGTGGATAGAGCACCGGCCCTGAAGTCAAGAGGACCTGAATTCAAATGTGACTTGAGACCAAACACTTGACACTTACTAGCTGTGTGATCCTGGCCAAGTCACTTAACCCCAAGTGCCAAAGAAA